CAGCATTGCTTTCTGTGAGTTTAATTATCCACAGCCCAAAAATATTGAAACTTTGAGGCTCCAGTTTTAAATGCCATGCATTCTGAATGGCAAGATTAACTCTTGCTGCCCACATAAACCACGCCTTGATCCAGCCTATCACACTGCACACCGCTCACCATTAGAGACGAAATAAAGCATTCACTGACAGCATGCCATACTGTACAGTTTTGAGATGCTCTGCAAATAGGGGGAGGCTACTGCATTGTTCCTCTTCACTCCTCCCCTCCTCAAAGCTCTGTCACGTGGGAGCTGCCTTTGAATTCATCACAAGATCAGACTGTTGATCACTGTGCTGGTGCTAAACCTTCCACAAAGATCCAAGGGTGTGGCTCCTAAGCAGAGAAACCCAGAGTGGTCACAAAGCCTTCTCATCTGTTCAGTTATGTTTGGCACAGCTTCTGATGTGCCTGTGGAGCATGACATGTGCTTGGTGAGAGGATTACAGAGTGCCAGATCATGAACAAGCTTAGAGGCCTTTTCAAGGCCTGTACTGTAGCTCCCAACCCTATGTTGGAGTAGGCCACAGCCATTGTCCTGGCAACCACCAGGGGGCAGACTTGCCTTCCCAGCTGGAGGCAGAAGAGAGCCTTGCTCTCTCTGCAAGGTGCTGTCCTCCCCATTGTGGAGAGACTGCAGACCTAGAAAGACAGACTTCCCAGGTAATCCAGCTAGCCAGGCTGTGCCTGGGCCTATGCTGCTCCTGGCCCTGATTCATCCAGATCCCTGAAAGTCCCTGAAGAGGGGATCCAGTTCATAGGAAAAGGAAAAGCCTGTTAAGTGAGGTTGCCTTCTCTAAAAAGACACAGGAAGTCCCCATGGCAGCATTGTTCTAGGTTGAGGTCCCCTGTGTGGCCTTTAGTATACTTAGCCTTTTAAAAAACCTTCCCAGCCAGACATGGTGCACATGCCTATGATTGCAGCTCTTAGGAGGTAGAAGCGGGAGAAACAGAAGTTCAAAACCATCCTCAGCTACACAGCTACTTCCCATGAGCCTGGGTTGCATGTATGAGAAGCTGTCTCAAAAGCTGGCCCTAGCTCACTGCCCTGAGCAGTACAGCTCTCTTTCTCCATCACATTCTCATTGAAGATTTTTCCAGGTTCCTTGAGAGGAAGGAAAAGAGGGCAGGCTTGTGTCCCTCTGATACTAGCAAACTTGCTGTCTCTTAAAAGCTCCCCTGGAAGTCCTACATCCTGCCCAAGACTGCCTTGGGCAAGAGAATGCACTGGGCTGGCTACACAGGAGGACTCTCGCTCCAAATCCTGAGCCCTTCTCTGTCCTCAGATCCCCAGTTTGTTTGTCTATCTGTTACCTTACAATTACTGTGTGGAAGAGGGTTGGCTTTTTATATGTGGGAGTAGGGGCCTGCAGAAGCCAGCAAAGGGTATCAGATTCCCTGGAGCTGGAGCTAAAGACCCTTGGGAGCCAACAGAACTTGGGTCTTTTACAAGAGTAGTGTGCATTCTTCACCACTGAGCCATCCCGCCACTGTTGCTGGAGTTTTCTGTTCTGCCAGGTCCTGCCATCACTCCACCCTCCACAAATTAAATTTTAACGTTAAGTTTAAGCTTCCATTCCTGCTTCTCATATTCTTACTTTTTGGGGGCCTGTGTTGGTTAGTTGGATTTGGTTGGTGGTTGTTTGAGGCAGGGTCTCATTGAATATCCTTGGCTGGCCTGGAACTCTCTGTAGACAGGGTAGCCTATAATTCATAGAGGTCACCTGCCTCTACCTCCCTAATGCTGGGATTAAAGGTGTGTACCACCACACCCAGCCTGGTTTTGGGTGTATGTTTGGTTGGTCGGTTGGTGGTTGGTTTCTGTTTGTTTTGTTTTGAGGCAAGTTCTCCTTGTGTAGCTTGGTTAACTTCAAACTCCCAGTAGTTTCCTTGCCTTCGTCTCCATATAGTGCTAGAATTATAAGTGTGCACAATGCCCAACTTTCTCTTTCTACTTCAGGATATTTCATTATTTTTCTAGCTGCCCTATTTGCCCCACCTGTGACAGTGGTGGGGCTGTTGTGTGAGCACTCTACCACTGAGCTAAACCGCTGCCCATTTTCCTAGTTTTGTGACCTGAAAGCTTTTGTTGTTGTTGTGTTTTGTTTCAAGACAGGATTGTTCTGTGTAACAGCTCTGGCTGTCCTGGAACTCATTTTGTTAAAACCAGGCTGGCCTTGAACTCACAGAGTCTACCTACCTCTGCCTCCCAAGTGTTGGGGTTTTTGATCCTGGAGACCTGAAAGCCTTTAAACCATTTCACAGGGGTCTTGTTTCCCTTGAGTTGACATAAGGCTTAGGACTTACAATACCTCTGGCTGCTTCTCACAACTTGGGGCATGGACCTAAAAAACCCACAGCAAGATCCCAGTACCAGTGAAAGAATAAATGCACAGCTCCCCCAGGGCCCATCTCAGCTTGGCCTCGCACGCCTTCTTGTGACCTTGGGCAAGTCAGTCCCCTTCTGAGCCTCAGGAACATCGTCTGTAGAACTTCAGTCTGGATACTATTACTAGATTCTAGGGTAATCTATATAAAGTAATGTGGCTAACCGCCCACGCAGACCAGTACCAAGAAATGGTCTCTTGAAGCTCAGCCTCAGATGCAGGGGGAAGATCCTGTTGTTATTGGGCCCCAGGCTGGTTTTGTACTGAGAATGGTGTCTCTTTACTCTCATCCCATTCGTCTCCAAGACCTCTCTCTCTCTCTCTCTCTCTCTCTCTCTCTCTCTCTCTCTCTTTTCTAGAGCTGCCAACAGAACTTTATTCATAGAAACTGTGCGGGCTGCAAGCCCCGAGGCCTAGCCCCTTGTTTGGACCCAAAGAAATGTGCAGAATGCCCTCCCCAATGCCAAAGAGAGAGACCAGGAGGAATGACATGTTCTATGCCAAATGGGGCGTGAGCAGAAATCTAGTTATTCCTTCTGAGGCTCCTCCTGGAGCTGGGGTGCCTGAGAGTAAATGGTCCCAAAGCCAGGTTTGGCTGCACTCCTGTGCCCAGGGATAAACTCCTGACGCCAGGTTCTGGGTCAAGTTGGGAGTCTTTGTTTGGTTTTCTTTTTCTTTTTCTTTTTCTTTTTTTTTTCTTTTTTTTAGATTTATTTATTTATTATGTATACAGTGTTCTGTCTGCATGTATGCTTGCAGGCCAGAAGAGGACACCAGATTTCATTACAGATGGTTGTGAGCCACCATATGGTTGCTGGGAATTGAACTCAGGACCTCTGGAAGAGCAGCCAGTGCTCTTAACCTCTGAGCCATCTCTCCAGCCCAAGTTGGGAGTCTTTAAAAGACAATGACAGGCAGAAGTGGCTCTAAGGGCACCTACGGGATTCTACTCCCAGACCCACTAGGGTCTGGCTGAGCATAAATATTCAAGATCATTCCAAAAAAGAAAAAAAAATTGAAAAATTAAGATCGATCCAAGGCCCATGAGTTGCCAAAATCCTCACATGACATGGTGTGGTGTGGCCTAGGGAGAAAGGATCAAAAACCCCAACAGAAAAGCCAGAAGCAATGACGGTATCTAGATGGGACCTGGGCAGACTGAGGAAGAGCCCACCGTAGTCTCAGGGCCCTTGCATAGTGACATACTCACCATCCTCAACATAACAAGGTTCAGAGAAACTGTTACCCTGCCCCACCCAGATTGGAGTCTTCCAGAATAGTCCAGCCGCGTGTCCTGGATATATGGCTTGAGGCTTGACAGAGTCGCCGTCATGTTGGGGCAAAGGAGACCCAGGTCCAAACCCAGAGGCAAAATGTTGATGTTGTCCCAGTGTGTGGAGCAGAGAGTGGGCAGGCAGGGAGGGAGTTACCAAAGGTAGACATTGAGGGTCTGCAGGATGCCTCGGCAGCAGAGGGGGCAGTTGCGGTGGTAGACAGGGTGGCGCGTGAGGATCTTGGTGCAGGCCTGGCATAGGCACAGGTGCCGGCAGGGCAGAAGCAGGATGGTCTTGCTCTGGTCCTGGCAAATGACACACTTCTTCCACTCCTCTTGCTTCTTCAGCAACTTCCATGGGTCTTGCCCAGCTGTAGGCTCATCTTCATTGAGTCTCTCTCGGCCTCTAGCAGGGGCTGCTCTGCTGGGCCTAGCGTCGTCCTCTTCTGCTTCAGGAAGAGTCTCTTGTCCCTGGATCCGGGCTGAGATCCAAGACCTCTCTTAACAAACATGGCAAAGAAGCCACCAGTGTACGTCCTTGCCTGCCCCACCCCCCAGGGCCCTCTGGAATGCCAGGCATACAGACTGAACAGGGCAGCAGGCACTTGCTATCCAAGCCCACAACCCAGCAGGGGATAGAGATCCCATTCTGTCTAGGATGATCACTTCCACACTGCCAGGGACCCGGTGCCACGTAAGTGAAGGCTTCTCCACAGAGCTGAGGGCTGAGGAAGGAGGACCAGCCTAGGCAGCTGAAAACTGCACCGGGGCCATGGCAGAGTAAGGTAGGTGGGATGAGGTTGGAGGAGACGATGGCAAGAGTCCCATCTGTGGTGCCTCTAGGCTACTGGCAGCATGGGTGGCTTTAGAGTATCCAACAGTGGTGTGGTGTTCAGCTGTCAGAGGAAATGAGCCAGGAATGACCTCAGGGCCTAGTATGTGGGTCTTCTGTCCTCAGCTTAATTCTTAGGACTGAGACCTAGGCTGCCTTCCCCAACCCCACCCCCTTGGGCCTTTCTCTGCCCAAAGAGGGTGGGCACAGCCATGGAGGCGAGCTGGAACCACCAGGAAAATCCTCAAGCATCAGGGACAGTCTTCCTTTTCTCCCAGCCCAGCTTGCTCAGGAGACCTAGCACACAGACTTGGGCGTGGGGGAAGTGGAGGACAGAGCACGTGAGAATGAAAGCCAGTGACCAGGAATCCATTAGCACCGGGTGCAGCTAACGGTCATGTATGCTACTGTCCCTGTCACCGCCATCATTACAGTGTCTCCTGAGCATTCCCAGAATGCAAGGCTGTGCTGCAGCCTCAGCTGCAGGCTTCCAGGAAGAAAGCCAGCCTGCAAAGTAGCAGCATTGAGCTGCTGTCTGTGATTCAGACATTGCCAGGCAGGTTCCTGAGGAGCCCTCCACTATTTCCCACCGTGCATGCTTTCCATCTCAGGGTCTGAGCTATCCCTCAGTCAAGTCGAGGAGAGAGTTGGGTGCCTTGCCTCACGAGCCTTTGTCTTCTCCTAGCCGGCTCTCCTGTACCTGGTCCCTGCCTGCATCGGATTTCCTGTCCTGGTGGCCCTGGTCAAGGGCGAAGTGGCGGAGATGTTCAGGTAAGGCGGGGTGGGGCAGACAGGCAGACAGGCAGACAGGCCCCAGCACGCCTGCATAGCCTGTCACACGAGCGTTGTCTCCAAGGGGGACTAGCTGCCTGGCCTATGGTCACCGGGGCAGCCCATACCACTGTGTCTTAAAGGAATGGCTAGCCACTGTCCGGGGCCTTGGATCACAAGCTAGCTCTGCCAAGGTGGCTGGAGGCGTGTCGTTTCCCCCAGCATCAGTTTGGATGTAATAGGACAAGGATATACCCTTCAGCAAGAAGCCATGCGTCCATCCCTGTCCCATGCCTCTGCAGCCATAACCTACAGCTTGCTTTCTGATACACAGTCCCCTTCCCCTGTGACTGCTCTCTCATCTGCCACACTTTGTACACTGCCCCATCCCTACCCCAGGGCCTGCATGACTCCTAGCAGGTGTCTACTACCAGGCGCATCTACCCTGCCTGCCAAAGACCTAGAAATAGCTGCCAACTACTATTAAAGCTGCCCACTCAGGGGCCTTCACCCAACTCTACCTGCTTGGCCTTAAGTTGTCCCCCAAGTGCCTGCCAGTGCACCTGGATACCTCAGGGCAGCTGGTGACTCACCCCTTCCCCATGCTTGCCCTGCCTGGAATCCCCAGCTCCTGGCCTACCAGTTGGAAGCCTGCCCACCCCCATCTTCTGGCATGGCAGCTGATCCTTGAGGTCAGCACTTAGCATCCCTCCCTCTGAGCATCCACGCTTGGAGAGACTTCTGAGCCAGTCCCCTGTATCCTCAGAGCTTGAGCTCTGAGCCCCAGCTAGGGCAGACAGTGCCTCCTTCCCCACACTGGGCCCAGTTTCTCTAAATGCTCTTCTCTGTAAGCCCCACCCTACCCAGAAGGTCCTTGGAAAAGCAAGAGAGCATGTAATCTTTCTCTACTCTGTCCTGGTCTTTTGCTTTTTTCTCTTTCACTGACACTCCTTTTGAAAAATTCATTCACTGATTCGTTCTTGAATGGATTGCACATTTACATGGTTTTAAATTCCATTGCTGGGGCTAAAGAGATGACTCAGCAGTTAATGCCTGCTGCTCTCCCAGAGGACTCTAGTTCAGTTCCCAGCACCCACATTGGGCAGCTGACAACCATCCCTCCAGGGGTACCTGAAGCCTCCATGGGTACCTATACTCAGTGCATGTACTCAAATGTACACATGTTCTTTCTCTCTCTCTCTCTCTCTCTCTCTCTCTCTCTCTCTCTCTCTCTCACACAC